CTGGGCGCAGTGGGACGAGTCCCGAGAGGCGAACAGGTCTATCTGTGCCTCCCCGAACTGGTCCCAGATCAGCTGGACCGACTGGGGATAAAGTCGCCATTCGCCGGAGATGGGACGGACCCGTGATAGCTCGTCGGCTGCCAGGTTCCGGTCTCCAGGAATGTATACTGTACAACACTGCCGTAGTGTTGTCTGAGCGGACAAGCACATGCTGGCCCTTGAGCAACGCTCGGAAGCGGTGCAGGGCGAGCCGTACTGCCAGCAGCTCGAGGCAATTGATGTGCATGAGGCGCTGGGCTCCTGTCCAGGAACCGGCGGCTGCATGCCCATTGCACATGGCACCCCAACCCGTGGTAGACGCATCCGTGGAGACGACGAGATGCCTGGAAACTCGCTGAATAGGGACTCCTGTCCGTAAGAAGCTGAGGTTCGACCACGGGAAGAAGGTTCGGCGGCACGCTGGAGTCACTGGAACTCGGAGCGAGCCGCGATGCCATGCCCACCTCAGGACTCGATCGCGAAGCCACAGCTGAAGCGGTCTCATATGAAGCAAACCGAGCGGCGTTGCCGCGGCCGCGGATGCCATATGCCCCAGGAGCCTCTGAAATTGTTTCAGTGGAACCGCACTCTTGCCCTCGAACTGTCGAAGACAAGTCAGCAGTGAGTGCGCACGCTCGTTCGTGAGCTGCGCGGACATCGCGACCGAGTCTATCTCCATGCCGAGAAAAGAGATCCTCTGCACGGGGCAAAGTTTGCTTCTTTCCCGGTTGACCCGAAGGCCCAGACGGGCTAGGTGCCGTAGCACCAGGTCTCTGTGTTCGCAAACCTGAGCTCGAGAGTGTGCTAGTATCAGCCAGTCGTCGAGAAAATTCAGGATGCGAACCCCGTGCTCGCGAAGGGGAACAAGGGCTGCCTCGACGGTCTTCGTGAAGACGCGAGGGGACAGAGCTAACCCGAATGGGAGAACCGCGTACTGATATGCCTGGCCCTTGAAAGCAAACCGAAGAAGCGGTCTGCGTTGAGGCAAAATGGAGGCATGAAAGTACGCGTCCTTCAGGTCGAACGCTGCAGACCAATCCTGAAACCGAACACATTCGAGAATGCGTTTGGCTGTGAGCATTTTGAACGGTAGTCGATGGAGAGAACAGCTCAAAATGCGCAGGACCAGGATCGGTCGTAACCCACCGGTCTTTTTGGGGACAATGAAGTCGGGGCTGTACAGCCCGGACCTCATCTCGGCTGGAGGGACCGTCTCGAATGCACCCTTCGCCAGCAGGGTCGCAATCTCCGCTCTCAAGACCGGGGCATTGCCACCGACCATCGTGGAGCGAACTCCCCTGAAACGGGGAGGAGACCGTGCGAACTGAATCGCGTAGCCGAATGTGATCGTTCTGATGACCCAGCGGGATAGCCCGGGAAGCTCTAGCCAGGCTTCCAGGAAGTGAACCAACGGGGTCATCCGAACCACAGACGTCCCCCCGGAGGGGCAGCGAGGCGGGTCGACTGGCATGCGCGCAGGAGTTACCCCGCCCGGGTGCACTGTCGAAGCCCGCTCCCCGACAGAAGAGACCAGGGAAGGCGGAGCGTTCCACGGGGGTCTGTTCTGCCGGGGGTCTGGCGATAGAGGGGGAAGGGATTGGCGTAGCCCGGGGACGACACTCGCACCCTTCCGCGCCCTCAGAGACAGAGAGGAATGTGTGGGCTGACGCGCTGAAACGTCGAGCGCACTCATTCCAGTCTGTGGGCTCAGTGATGATGTCAAGTCTTTCCTTAACCAACTCAGGGCGCTGCCCAACCGTGGGTGAGCAGCGGGGACCTGAAAATGAAAGATTTTCCCCCGGCCCTCCACCGGGGGCAGGAGGGGGCCTGCTACCGCCTCCTGGGGAAAAACTCAACTCCATCACTGAGCAGCCCGTATCAGGATCATCGCTTACCTGGCGTTTAGCGGGGTGTGCGGCCTGAGGGGGCTGTGACGCCTGCCGGCGGCCTCCTCCACGCCGTGGCCCGGATGAAGGCTGCTGCTGGGGCGGGGCGGGAGGGAGGGGAGCCGCGGGGGGGCGTCCTCGGCGGCGAGCAGCGGGAGGCATCTGTGCCGACGACTGGGTGGAGGCAGCAGCTGGTCATCGGGGCAGAATATGATTGATTGCCTCCGTCTGCTCCTGGACAGTGGAGAACTGCTGGGCAAAGCCCTCGACTGCACTGCCAAAAAGGCCAACCTGGGAGAGAGGGGCGTCGAGCAGACGAGTCCGCTCAGCGCTCCGAGTGTCTGCCAGGTTGAGCCAGCGCTCCTGGACCACACTAGTGGGCATCACCTGACCAACGGCGCGAGCGGCCACTTCCGTCGCTCCGGAGAGCAAGGTCAGTGGCGGACCGCAATTCTTTGAATGCCGTTGGATCAGTCCCGCCCTCGTGCATGCAAAGCGGAGGCCGCCCGTCCCGCCGCTCTATAGGAACGCGCCGCCATGGCAGACGAGAACCTACAGGCTTTGGATGGGTGCCTATGAGGACCACGGGAGGAGGCGCTCCGTGGACACAGCTGTATCGCAACAGAGCGCTCCAGCGGGGGCATCCCAGTGCACCCACGGGCGGCCCCCCCATCGAGGGGGGAAAGGCGGGGGAGAGATCGCGCTCTCGAGTGGACAAAGGAGTCCCCCAAGAGCGCGATAACTCCGCATGCAGCTCGGGGAAAAAAGGCAATGGAGTTGGCTGTGGCCTCGCGGCGGCAGCTTTGTCCAAAAACCAATTATCCCTCCGTGAGAGATCGGGGGAGAATGGAGGGTGCCACTCTAACCCAATGCTCCCAGCGGCTCGAGACAACATGGCCGTCAGCTCGGGATCCGACACGGCAGCGCTGGCACTCCCGAAGGGGGCAGCGCAGCCGTATCCTCATCTCCCGAGGACTCTAGCCCGCCTAGTGATGCTATGATCGACATCACATCATCATCTGGAGCGCTGCTCGAAGCAGCCGGTACCACCGAAGAAGCAACCGACTGAATCGAACTAACGCTCGCTGGCTCACGCACTGAGGCGGGGGGTGTGGCCCGAGGAATCGTCGGGGCTTTATTCCACACCGCGACCGTGAAATCACCAGGTCCCCGGGTCGACGGGCCCCCCGTGGGGGAAGCCGATCGAGTAGGGGGGACCGGGACTCTCACTGAATTCAGATCATTGAGTCTCGACCTCAGTGTAGAGATGGTCATGTTCCCACAGAAGAAACATGAGTCATCCACGAACGCTGCAGTTGCATGCTGAATGCCCAGGCATACAAAGCAGCGATCGTGACCATCAGATGACGATAGAAATCGATCACACCCAGGAGAACACGGGCGAACCATCTTTAAAAAGACGTGCCGCGTGCTGCTCTTTCAATGAGAGGAGGAAATTCACTCTTTCAGCGCTGAGGCGACCAGGGAGAAGCGCAAAGTCTGGCAGACCACTGCTCAGATCGCAGGCGATGCAGAATCTCGCTGGGTACCGCCGTCACACCAACACTGAAGAGGACGCTCGTTTTGAAGAGTCTTGAACAGTGAGAATGGCTTTCAGGAGTGAAGAGGTTCTCTTGGCTCCGAAGCGAAAACATACTGCGGTTGCGTTCACTTCCTCCTTTTATACTCACGGAGTAGGGCGGAGTACGCTATGCAAATTTCCATTGGCTCGTTTTTAAATACTCAAAGAGGATTGGCTTTCTATGCGAAACCCCCCAATCTCCGTCACTTCTGACGTAACTCGAAGTGACTACGAAAGGGAACGAAGGATTTTGTCTTTTAAAGTATTTTGTAAGATCTTAAAGAAAATGGCTGGAAGAAGATGAAAGTGCTTGTTTAGTCTCGAGAAAAGGAATGGGAATTTTTGGGAATTAAAATCTAAAACCACTGATGGAATGGTCAACTCTAATTTCAGGCCTGTTATTGAAAAAACAAAAGAAATATAGCAAGAGATCTTTCTATTCGAGGGAGAACTCTACTGAGTGGCAGAAGGTCTTTCGAGAGCAGCGTTTACTTTTTCTCTTCTTTTAGTTCCCGAAGGGTATATGCTCTTTCATTTCATCTGGAGAAACAAACCTCATAAAATAAAATAAAAAGCGTCCTTGTTAATAAAGTATCTGATCGTGGGTTAAATGTTATTAATTTTACAAATTTTTAAACCAAATTATAAAAACTGAATAGACCATTTCACAAGATGTAAACAACACTGGTCCAGAAGCACTTCCTGTTTCAGTTTTTTAACACTACATAAAAGCTTGGATAAAATACAACCAACAGAACATTTAAAACTGAATCAAAAAGTTAAACAAACATCTTTAAGATATTTCTTTACTTGTGAAATAAAGAAAACAGTTTCAAACTGAAACAGGAAGTGTTTCTGGACCAGTGTTGTTTACATCTTGTGAAATGGTCTATAGGCTTAAAAACTTGTTGGTTGCAGTGTCCTTATATAACTGATAAACTTTTAATTGCTTTGGTCGTTAACACTTTATTTTGATGGTCTCTTTTGAACATTCTGTTGAATATAAGTAACTATGCAACTACATGTCAACTTATTCTAATCCTAACCCTACCAGTCTACTAATCCTTTTCTAACACTCTAGTGAGAGTTAGCAGACATGTAGGTGCAACGTTACTTATAGTCAACACAATGTGTTAAAGGGACCATCCAAATGAAGTGAAATCCTTTGGTCAATTATCACAAACAAGCATTACTGTTCTGGTCACTTTTGTAAACACAATGTTTTATATGAACAATGGTATATAATTCATAATAAGAAGTCATTGTACATGGAGAATTGGGTTCGGCACAACATTTTAATTGTAAACCAGCTTATTGTCAAGAATAGGCAATTTTACACATAACCAAATTTTATTTCAAAATATGGTTTATTTAAAAAAAAAAAAAATTCAACAGCGTAATTAAGGCTATCTAATGGCATAATATACAAAATCCTTTATTAAAAAATATATTTTTATTGTTATTTTTAAATTATTGTTGTTTTTTACTTTATCAAACGTTGTGAAAGTCATTTATTTCTTCTAGAGTTCATGATTTCAATCCCTTGTGACCCAATATCTGAAATCTCAGAAAGTGCTTCTTCATCCCTCATCTTCTGCATCACAATTTTCCTCACATTTTGAACTGTGATTGTTTTCCAGCATTATTTTCTCCACTACTAATGTCATTTCCACATCTTCACTCCTTACATTGTTCACAACCAGTTCTGTTATTTCCTTCAAAACCACACGATCCTCAATCTGTTCATTCAGTAATGAACCTGTGTTTGATCATTTCAACTGAGAGATATATTCGATAATAATAATATAAATAATTTGTCATTAAAAAAAAATGAATGAGATTTTCATTGAAACATTTTACTGTCTCTTTGAGGATGTGATACACACATTTATTCTATTTTATTTCAGTGAAGTTCATCAGTATTAATTTAATGAAGTATTCAATATTCAATCAGTATTAATTTAATGAAGAGGAAATAAGAGTCTCTATAGTATTATGGGTAAAATCTCTCTATATCTGTTCTGAAACATCAACACAATTTCACTGATCCAGGATAAACCCCAAACCCAGGATAGAGCGGCTGAGTGAATGTGGTCTGGACTGTGTGGATGAGGCTCATTGTGTCAGAGACGCTGTAGAAGGACAGAGTTCCTGCACTGTGATCCACACACACTCCTATTCTTCTGCTGACGGACTTTACAGGGAGACGAGTGTGTTTCTTATTGTGCCAGAATATGTAACTCGAGGAAGAGCAGCACAAACTCCAGGACTGATCATTACCTCCAAACACACACTCATAACCCGATCCCTTCCTGCTGATGCTCTTATATGACACTGATATCTCAACACGATTCCCAGTCCACTCAATCTCCCAGTAAGAGCGTCCACACACACTCTCTCTACACAACACCTGATGATACACATCAAATCTGTCTGGATGATCAGGATACGGCTGCACTGTGTCAGTGTGAGTAATAACTCTGTTCCTTTCAGACAGACGGAGGCGTTTATGCACTGTGTTCAGATCCGGAGTGAGCTGATGGGAATCTGATGGAGAGAAAACACATCAGAAACAGGAATTATGAATCTGTCTGATCTTTTAATGTCTCTGAACTCTTCATGAATCAATGTTCAATGTATCATCAGTGTCTCAGTACAGATGATCAGATATCCTGAGCAAATCCTCATTTACATGATCAATTATAAAACTCTTCTATCATGATTTATTTCTCCTTCTACAGGAAGAACATGAACACACTCAGTGAGTTTTCCTGCTTGTTTTCTAGTGACTCAAATTGTAGGAAGTCATTCCTGGTCTTGGGATTCATGTTGGTGAAAGTGACTGTGGAAATAAACAGACATGAACAGTGTGAAGAGAAATGACAAGATCAAATACATTCATTTCTAAGACGTTTCTAATCTGATATTAGATGATGTAGGACTCATTTCTGAGAACAGATTCATCTCCAGACGCCTCATATATAAAACACTCGTATCGGATTCAATCCCAAATTCCAATGGACTTCATCCTACAGTACGTCACACTCGTATATATTACTTCTAAACCATCAAGGGATGTTTGTGGCTGTTCTGTAGAGTTGTTGCACTTGAATTAAAGATGAACTGTGATTTATAAAGTGGGATGCATTTAGGAAAATTATTTGTGTTTATGGATGTTTTATAAATCACAAGAACATTTCAGAAACTGTTGCATGTTCAGATTTGGGCTCTTTCTCACACGTGTGTATAAAGGAGGCGCAGGACTTTACCTCCGTCTGAGATCTTCTTGATCTCCTCTTTGCAGAAATCCTCCAGTTTGTCTCTCAGCTGACGGACAGATTCTCTCACGCCATCAAAAGAGGAGAGAGAACCGAAGGGAACGTCGGGTTCGTCTGTAGATTCAGGAGGAGCTGAGAGAGACTGGAAACTCTACAGAAAACACAAATCAAAACTCATCATCTCCACACTTCAGCCAATAACCTGCACTATATCAGATCTGTGCGGCTCTTGTAGACTTGACTTCTCTTCAGTGACTCGCTTCAATCCAGCACTTTCACACAATCAGCTCATTTTTAATGGTCCGTTTCCCAGGGCTTTGTAAGTGCGTCTCTTTAAACAGAAGATGATCAGATGAGCGTCTGACTGATGATTATATGATAATCGTTCGTTCATTTATTGGAGAAGGATAACCCCTTGAGATGGAACATCTCATTTTCGAGGGGGTCCTCAAGATAACACCAAACACTTACAGACATACTAAAGCTCTTCCACACAACCAACACCCCAAACTGTCCCAACTCTGTCCAAAGCATATCACATAAACAATATACTATGACATTAGGATAGCCTATATTACAGGAGAAAACCATAATTGACGAAACCACAAAAACAAACAAATATAACCTACATATACATACAAATACAAAAATACATACCTATATACACATATGCACACAAACATGCATGCATGCATGCACTGCCTACATACATACCACATACCTACATACACATGTACACATCCCCGCACACATGCTCTTTTCTTCACATTAGTGAAGGAAAAAACAAAAAAACAAACAAAATAAATAAATAAATAAATAAAGCAAATTAAAACACAACTCATATACTAGGAAAACATATACATTGGTCACAAGATTGCAAGTAAGTTAAAAGGGCTGACTTAAAGAGTGGAAAGGAAGAGATGGACCTTAAGGAACAAGGTAAGCTGTTCCAATCAGAGGGGGCTTTGAATTTGAAAGAACGTCTTCCAATTTCTTTAGATATATTTGGGACAGAAAAAAAGAGATGATCAAGGTGTCTCAGGCCATAAGTTGACCTATATAGAACTAAATGTTGCTTCAAATAAAAAGGATAATTAAAAAATATACATTTATAAACAAATTGAAACCAGTGTAGCTGACGTCTAGCCTTTGGTGATAAAAGATTCAATTGTTGGTACATATGACAATGATGGGTTTGAAACGGACATCTCAACACAAATCGACAGAGACTGTTATAAACAATATTTATGGGTTTAAGGTGTGATTCTGTTGTACTCATATAGACAAAGTCAGCATAATCAATAATAGGAAATAAAAGCTGAGTTACAATTCTTAATCTAATCAATTGTGTAAAGCAATTAATTGAACGATATAATAATCTTAAATTATAATTTACTCTTTTCACTATCGAATCGATATGAGGCCTAAAGGAGAGGCTGGAGTCAAGCCAGAGGCCCAAGTATTTCAATTCCTCAACATTCTCCATTAATGTACCATCTGAGAATTTAATTGTTAAGTTATTGCCATGGTTATGTCGAGCAGATCTAGTTGAGAATAACATACTATAAGACTTACTTTTATTCAATATAAGTCCATTATTCGAAAACCACTTTTGAATAGTATTAAACTCAAGCTGCAGTGATGATTGGATTGAAATAATATCACGTTTTGAAGAATAAATAACTGTATCATCAGCATACAAGAGAATTTGACTATCAGAGCACATTTGTGGGAGGTCATTAATGAAAATAGAAAATAAAAGAGGGCCTAAACAAGAACCTTGAGGAACACCCTTATCCATTATCATAAACTGAGAGAGAGCACCATTGAGATTTACACACTGACGTCTGTAATGAAGATATGAATTAAACCATAGAATGGACTGTTCGGAGAGACCAATGTTATAAGTTTATCAAGGAGAATATAATGATCAACCAGATCAAATGCTTTGGTAAGATCTATAAATATTGCTCCAGTGGACATATTATTGTCCAAAGAAGATGTAACATCGTTAACAAATTTTGTAAGAGCAGTAGTGGTGGAGTAATTGGGCCTAAAACCTGATTGGTTTGGAGAAAAAATAGAAAACTCATTAATGTATTTAAACAGTCTCTTGAATATAATTTTTTCAAATACTTTTACTACATTACTAATAATTGAGATTGGTCTATAATTGTTAGGATCAAGAGGATCACCACTTTTGTATAAGGGTGTTACTCTAGCACACTTCCACATAACTGGAACTTTGCAAGAAGATATAGATAAATTAAATAGATCACATAATGGATATGCTAGAACATGAGAGGCAATTTTAATGAACTTTATCTCCAAACCATCTATACCAACACCACTTCCAGATTTAATTTCATAGATTGCCTGCTGTACCTCAGTGGGATGAATTGTAGTAAATGAAAAAGAACTGTTTACTACATTACTATTTACAGGGTTGGAGTAACAGAATTCAGGTGGACGTAAGTTACAGACAGAAGAGAAGTGATGATTGAAGGCATCAGCTACAGAAATTGGATCACTTATAATAGTATTATTTATTTTTAGTTTTGCAAGGGAATTCTTATTAGATTTATTCAACAAGCAATTAAGTTTTTTCCAAAAATGTTTAGGATTTGTAAAATCATTTGATAATGAATTTTTATAATAGTCAGATTTGGCATTTCTTGTTTTAACAGTACACACATTTCTTAATCGCTTATATTCAATCCAGTCTGCCAGATCATTTGTTACATGATATCTTTCCCAGGCCTTGTCCCTTTGCTTAAAGAGATGTATTAAGTCACCAGCAATCCAAGGTAGCTGTCTACCCTTCACTTTAACTGAAGCCCATGGAGCATGTTTATCTATGACTTTTAATACCTCAGTATGAAAGAATTCCCAGGCATCATCAACATAAGGAATTAAATCCATCCTGTCCCAGTTAATACATAACAGATCTTGAATAAATGCATCATTATTCATATTTTTAAATTGTCTTACCTTGATTATTTTTGGTGGTAGACGAGGTAACCTCATTTTCCATATACAAAAGATAACTGAATGATCACTGAAGCAATCAGATAAAACACCTGAATCAGCAATTCTATTAGGATGCGTAACCAGGATCCAGTCTAAGAGAGACCTGGAGTTTCCCACCACTCTGGTAGGCTCCTGTATTAATTGAGTAAGATTTAAGCTTTCAAACTGATTCCTCTCTTTCAAAGATGACCTATCAAGCCAATTTCGATTGAAATCTCCCAATACTATAATTTCGTCAGAACAATTTAAAGAATTAATAGTGCGAAGAATATTATTAGTTGATTCGGACGGAGAGTTAGGGGGTCTATATATGTTTCCTATGATCAGCCGTTTATTTTGATGAAAACATATTCTAACAAAAAGGCATTCAAAGTACATGGGGCTTTCACTAGCAATAATAAGTTCAGAAGATAAACTTGAAGAAACATAAGTAGCAACTCCTCCACCACGACTGCCTCTGTCTGCTCTATATACATTATAGCCATCAAGACTTATTTCATCATCGTGTACATTACTATTTAACCAGGTTTCAGACAAAGTAATAACAGCAGGTTTGTTATAAGTGAGCCATGCTCTAAGAAGATCAATTTTATGAGGTAGACTCCTAATATTTAAGTGGATAACTAATAAACCTTTACCCATAGTCATTCATAAGTAGATAAGAGAGAGGGACATGGGATTGGAGGAAGAGCAACACACATAGACACACACACACATACATCCACACTAGTTTCTCCAAGCATACACAAACAAGCACAGACTGCATGATCCAAAATAATGAAAAGAAAGAGAAAAAGGAAAAAAAGGAAACAGACTATCTGCCAATAAATAGCCTACTGAATATTGTATTTACATTATTTACTTTTTAACTCCCAATATGAACAAAACAATAGAAAGCACATTCTTGTAAAAATAAATAAATCTCACCATACAACTAAGGGGAATATGCTTCAACTTTTTATCAGCAAGGGCTTATAGAATACAATTTACGTAAAGTAGGGAAGAATCAAATCAGAACCTTCAAAAGAAAAAGAAAAAAAAAAAAAAAAAAGGAAAAAAAAAAAAAAAAAAAAAAATTTTTTTTTTTTTTTTTTTTTTCTTACACAATTTTACAGATTACGCCATTTGACAGCAAGTTCCGTCGAATAAAGTAACGTCAATAAATCAACAAGTAAAGTCAGTCAGCGTTAGGCCTATGCAGCACCTTGTAGAAAACAGTTCGCTTCTGCTGGAGTTTTAAACAGATGAGGTTTCCCATTGAAGATAATCCTGAGAGTGGCCGGGTAAATCAGAGTATATTCCAATTTACGTTGTTGGAGTTGTTTCTTGATATCATCGAATTGACGTCGCTTGCTGAGCAAAGCAGCACTAAAGTCAGGAAATATATGGATACGATCACCATTATACTCAAGTTGTTTTTTCTCCCGGGCAAGTCGGAGGATTGTGTGCCTGTCACGGAGACTGAGACACTTTACCACAATCACCCTTGGCCTGGCGCTGTCCTTGATCCGATGCATTGGAGAGCGATGAGCCCTCTCTATAGCTGGTGGTGTAGAGAAACTTTCTTTCCCGAATAGCTGCTGAATCAGACTGGAAATAAATCCACGTGTATCTTTGCCCTCCGACTCCTCGGGAACGTGAATAAAGCGCAGGTTATAAGCCCTGTTACGATTCTCGACATCATCCACCTTGTCCCGCAGGTAAGCGTTTTCACTCTCAAGTGTTTTGATTCGTTTTCCAAGATCAGATATATTATCCTCGTTGCCACCGACTCTTTGCTCAAGCTCCGATATATGTTCTCCCAAGTTTGATAAGGAAAGCTTTATTGTATCTAAGTTCATCTGTATATTGTCCATCTTTACATCAAAATGGGAAACCATTTCGGACTTTAATTGTTGCAGTGCGTCCAAGAGGAATTTGTTTGACGCGGACTGCTCCATTGTAGCACTTGCACAAATCCGAGCTGACTGCTCCTTTTGTAGAGCTTGCTTAAATCAATAATCAATGAAAACTTTGTTTGTAGGTTTGTAGGCTTTCAGCTTAGATATAATACTTGTCGAACATTTAATTGAAGGCAAATAATTCCATGATTAGCAG